GCCTGAATTTTGCCTGAAACTCTCAGACTGAAGAAGTCTCTTGGAGGAGAGACGAAACGTTTCATTAGAGAAGAACCCGTCCAGAAGACCTATACAATTATTTTCTCTTCGTCTTTTAGTTTGAAGAAGACACAAGGATAAAAAAAGCAGAGTTTGACAGCAAAATCAATTTGAGACCGATGTAAAGAAGACTAGCTGAGATAAAAAAAAAAGAAGGAGGACAAGGTGTTGAGATGAAGAGCAGAGGATTTGAGCACTTTGGCTGTCTGTCTGGGTTAACAGAGGTTTTACTGTCAAACTGGAGAGAAACCAGACGTCTGCAGGACCTTTTCCCTCTCCTCAGAACAGAGTCTGACCCTCGGAGCGCACAGATTGATTTTATAATGTGTTTGTGGCCTTTTGTAAAAACATCCAGGAAGCTGCGTCTGGTTCTGTGTGCACTTGCGGATGTAATTGCTTTTTATTGCCTCTGGAAAATAACGCAGCTTTTTATTATTGTCAAAGGATTCTTTTGAAGAAAGAMAAAAATCAATGAGAAATTTATCCTTTCATCAAGTTCAGCCTGAAGACTAAATTATTCTCTGGTCTACCATGACTGAGAAATGTCTTTTTTTTCCCATCAGATTATTTTTAAAATCCAGAACGATCTAATCTAAACTGAACATGAGCAAGCATTTTCACTGTCTTTGATTTATTTGTTTTTCTGTCTGTTAGTAAAATATCTCATGAACTACTTGACTAATTTGAATGAAACTTTTAAAAAAATAATCATTGGATGAACATCTACATATGTTTATCTTTTGAACTCAACCACAGTCAAGATGGCCGCAAAAATCAGTCGGTTTTATTAAACAGAAAAATGTCTAACTCCACTAATTTTAAAGAGCTGAGAGTCATTCTCAACACATATTATGAGGACAAGATCTGCTTCTAAAACTTTGCCATTAACCATTGGAGTCAGCAGTGTCTGTTAGCAAAATATCTCATGAACCACTGGATGGAATTTACTGAAACTTTCAGAAATGAATCACTGGGTGTACACTTATATCTTAATAACTTCTGGAATAAACCCAATTCAAGATGGCTGCCCCAGCTCATCTACCTTAATGGTTTTAATTCAATCAGTTTGAAAGATGTGGATCTAGTTGTTTGTGTGGTAGTAGCTGAGTGTTGACCTCAATTCAGACTCTGATGCTAAAATATCTTGTGATAAATTATATTAAGCATAACCTCTTTTTATTCAATTTAGAAATAAAACCTATCAGCTTTTCAAAGTAGATGCTTCCGCAATTTAGGAGGCAAGCACCAGAACAAGTTTAATAAAAGCAGTAAAAATAATAAAAAAATGAAATCTGTTCTATTTTTTCTATTTTATTTGTGCCCTAAATAAAAGATGTAGGCCTCATCTGTCAGTGATTCTCTCCTTTCACCTGATGATGCAAGAATGAAGAGAGCAAAAGCAAGAAAGTCGCTCTGTTGCCTCAGGCTTATTATATTGTTACATTTTAACAGATGAAAATCAGACTTTTACCTCAAAACAGCTTAAATGAGATCACAGAGTTAAAAAAATTACAAGTCATTAGATCTTTTAAATTACTAACAGGTAAATAACAAACGTTGCTTTGTCAAAAAATGAGATCACAAAAGAGAGACAGATTTTACAAATTAGTGGCAAACATTGACTTACTGCTGAAATACAAAAAGGGGGTCACAACATTTACCTCATCTCTGAATGACTCCATTTTTTTCTTAATGTGAGAGATGGACACGCACCACCAGGTCAACTAATAAAATACATTTCTGCATAAATGGTATTCATTTATTTTTTGTGCATTCATCCACATTTTAATTTAACTAAACAGAAAGTGTTCAAATGATTACTACAGTATCTGTTGCCCTCGTGCATGTATGTGTGTGTGAACATGTTTCTGTTACAGAGTGAGGACCGTTATGTGTTTTAATCCAACAAAGTGAGAACATTTCCCCCGGTCCTCACTTTTGTGCAGTTCTACCGCATACTAGTYAGGTTTAGAAGGATGGTGTAAGTTAAGTTTTGGTTCAGGTTAGGGTTAGCTATAGACCAGTAATGGTTAGGGTTAGGGGAAAATGTCTGGATTATAGGTGTAAATGCAGTTACAAAAATGAATGGAAGTCAATACAAAGTCCTCAGTTTGATYGAAGTACRAGGATGYGTGTGYGATTATTTGCTTTTGCATGATCTTCTCAGAACTGTCTAAAGTGGTTTTTTTCTCCCACTTAAATCAAATGTGTCTGTCTAATGTGGGCTTGGAGGCTGTGACTCACTGACTCATGGCTTCTAAACAGCTTCAAGTGGTTTCAACCTCTGATTTCTTTCTGCCGTTATTTGTTCCTCACTTTAATACATTTCTAACGTTTCAATCCGACCCTAACTCTTGCAATTCAACTACATGCATCCTCTGGTGTGTGTGTGGTCTCTCCTGTGTGGTATTTCAAAGCCAATTAGTCTGTTGTTATTAAAAAAAAGAAAAAAAAACAGATTCAATCAGCAGTTAATTATGAGATAATCTGAGAATAATGACCCGGGCTTAGTGACAGAACTTCAAGGAACGTAGCAGAGCTGGGTGGAATGAAGACAGGAGGTGGAGGGCTGGTCTGTGGRGGAGCAGGTGGAAAGGAGGAGAAACTGATGAGGATGACAGCCCGAGATGAAGGTTCAGATTTATGAAGCCGTTGACAGAAGTGACCTGCTGCTCCTCCAGCTGTAAGCACGAGCGGCACAACTGGAGGGCGAGGCAGCAGGGTGGGAAGTGATTGGTTGTGCGGCAGATAACGCAGAGGTCGRAGCGAAAACGTGAGTGCGACGCACCGCCGGGATCAGGGGATTCGGGGGAAATTGTCATTTCCGTTCTCTGCGATGGTGGTGAAGCGTGYCGATCCGAATTGGGCTGTGTCTTTCCACACAGTGCGAGTTTCACCCACAGATAGCTCACAACATGATGGACAACAAAATCAAAGGCCTCTCATTTAAACAACACTTCAGTCACATGAATTGTAGAATCAACCAAATCTTTTTATATATCTCTTTATATTACAAATTCAAGACATTCCTTCAACAGTCATGCAACAACTGTGTGTGTTTGGGGGATAAAGCATATCTTTTAGACACAGTCTAGTATCTTGTATTTTGTGATCGGTTGTTGTCATTTACTTTAAACAGTTGGAGAATCAACAAGTCTCTATTTAGTTTAAAAGTTTGTTTCCAAAACTCATATCTGGGGTGGGACCAGGTTTTCTATAAAACATTATGACTCATGAAGGAGGTCCATTTTGTCCTCTTGATTGGGACACTCCACAGCGGTCAGATGATCTTTATAAGTAAGAGTGCGAGTAAACGAGGCTGATGAGAACTGGACCGGCTTCCTGCACCTGATCCGGGTCCTCGCTGTGCATGATTCCATTCAGGAACACAGTGTGAATAGACTGGTTCCATTAAGTAGGTTACAACACTGTCTTTTATTAAATAACTTAAAGGGGGTGTATTATGCAAAATTGACTTTGTTGAGCTTTATATCATGTTATAATGTCATTCCCTTATCAAAAGCACACCAAGAGTATTGCTTTGACTCATTCATTCATGTTTGAGAAATCCGCCAAACTCTTACTGGTACAAAGCTCCGCCTATTTCATCCCTCGAATGCCACTATCCTGCATGTTTTACTTGTTGCTCTGCTCTAACACACCTGATTTGAATGAATGGTAATTAACCCTTTTACACCTAGGGCTCCAAATTTCAGCCTTGTGTTTTTTTTCTTTTTTAACTGTAAAAAAGTCATTAATTGTCCTGTCTGAAAATATTTTTGCAATGTTTTAATATAACAATATTAACTTTCAATATCTAGCAGTTATTTACAATTTACTGTATATTAAAAGTGTATTATTACTTTAAAAGGATTTTTTGAGGTTTACTGAGCAAAGAAACAAAATAGGTGTGTTTGACAAAAAGATTTGGTTACAAAAATGTGAACTTTAGACAATTTTTAAAAATTACAGTAAAACTTATAGATTTTTTCTTTAAAAAATATGGCAAAATAGTACAAAAATGAAAGCTCTTAAGGTCTTTTTTTTTCTCCCTCTCCCCCCAAACTCAGTTTTGATGAAATAGCCAGAAGCACACCAAACCTTAGCTCAGTATCTGTAAAACGGACTGAGTTATAGCCGTGTTTGTGTTTGCCAAGTTTGATTAGCTGTGGCGGCCATCTTGAATCGAGTTGACTCCGAAAGCTAATCAGCTGTAACGTTCATCTAATGAGTAGTTCCTGAGGGTTTTTATTAACATCCATCTAGTGGGTCATGAGATATTTTGCTAACAKACATTCAAGCAAGCATACACACAATTACATGCTCACCTGCCTTTTATGTCAGCAGCAGTAATGATTTATTAAACCTTTTGTTCTTTGTTGGAGATTTTCTGAATACTTGAACCAGACTGACAGCAGCTCTTTGTCTATAAGGTTTGAAAAAAAATGACTCATTTTTCTTAGTTTTCAAAAGGAACCTTCAAGTATTTGTTTACAATCAGAGAGGTATACATAAAGGAAGATGGCAGGATATCAGCTGTGTTCAGAATGAAGCCAGACTTCACACACTTGCATAAATAATAAAAGATTGTTCCAGTTTTGTAAATTCACACAGGAATATTATTTGAGTTTGTTTAAAAAAAAACGCTCCCATAAATCAGCTTCTTTCTGCCTCAAATATGACAATTACCTCCTTGGCTCAGTTGCCGTCAACATCAGTCAGACTAATCACTGCAGCTTCCTGCCTTCCTTCGAGCCCATCTGAAGCACTCCTCTCTGTCTGCAGGTGGAAGAGATCCGGGGTTTCATCGAGTCCCTGGCAGAGAAAGTGGAAGAGGTGAAGAGAAAGCACAGCGCCATCCTCGCCTCGCCTAACCCAGACGAGAGTAAGGCCATTTGTCTGGCGTCTTTTTCTTTTCTTTCTCGTTTTTTATTCATTCTCTGTCAGGGCGAGGAGTTGAAGGTGGTGATAAATAATGTGCTTTCATTCCGATGAGACTGGAGCACCTCTGAGGTTTGAGGTGAAGTGCTGTCACTTAGTGAAAACGTGTCATTAATGGTTCTTGATATAAAGAGTGTTGGTAGGTTTTTATAAGGGTTCTCAACGTTTTTTTTCCCACTGTTACCGAGATACTGACACAATATTCGTCTTTAAAGCACTTATCTAACCCACTAAATATGGACTCAAGTCTCATGTTTTGATCTTGTTCTAACCGCTGACTATTTTAACCACTAGTTTGGAAAGTGTACCCCGAAAAGTATCTGTTCACAATTGAAATGGTAATTCTTTTCTGGGCCTTTTTAAGGTTCCAACTGCTGAATATTTTAGTAATTCAATAATGATACAAGCAAAGAATAAAAAAACTACATGTCAAGTCAGTGGTTCCCAACTTCTTTTTCTTTAATTCACCCAAACGAAACCAACATTTTTCCAAAAATGTTTTTTAATTATTTAGCTGTTAAAATATTCTTGTAAACACAGCRTTGTTTCCAGAAATGTCTTCATTAGGGGTGTCCTGATACAAGTTTTTCCTCAAACTGAGTACARGTWWTTCAATTTTGGTACTCGCTGATAACCAAGTACTTTCTGAGTTAGAACCTAAACATTACACAAAGACCATATAAACATTTATTTTATTTAGAGCAAGGTGGCGACAGCCTGTCTGTAATAACTACATCACAATCTTAAATCGAGGTGCTGSTTTACCCGATCACACATAACCTTTACGTCTCTGTTCCTACCTGCCTTGGCGGCTCAGAGGTGTAACAGCAGTTGGTTGACCCCCCGTGTTGTTTCAGTCCTTTCATAAATTACCCTGATRTGGCTTAAAGGTGTTCAAGGCTAACGGTTTTGTGAAAGAGTCGAATGTTTTAAAGCCTGAAGCTGCTTTTTTATGAGATATCTGAAGAACAAAAAACCTGATGATAGGTTCAGTTGTTTGAACTAAAAACAATCTGTCTGGAGAACAGAAACCCTGCCTGAAGGTAGATGTCAGAGAAACCTTGAAAATGATTCGAGTTGTCCCGTCTGCTCCGTCTGCCATCGTTGTRCTTTACAGGAAATTGTGCTCTCACTTTAAAACTCTAGACTCTCGTTTGTCCATTTGTCTCCACAGCTTTTCTTTCTGTTTTTATTMCTATATTACCTCTCAGGCTGTCGTTAACACTTCCTGACATATTTTCTCATTTTCTTYCTCCGCTTTGCTCATTTTCAGCCTCTTTTCACTTCACGTTTGTTCAGCCTTTACCGAACACTTCAGCCCGTCTTCCTCCCCGTGTGTTTGCTCTCACCCGTCACCTCTTCCCCTCTCGTTTATGTTGGGCATTGATCTGGACCCCTGCGCTCACACTAGTGACACCGCCGGCCCCCTCTTCCTCCCATTGATCCTCCACCTCCTGCCCACCTGAAAAAGCCATTGATCTTGTTTCCTCACCGGCCGACAGACGAGCTATTTAACTCGCCTCGATGGTGACCGTGACATGCGGAGAAACACAGGGAAAGGTGTTTCGTTTTAAATACACACGTCTTTCCTTTTGCAGCTGCAATCAAAGCTCCCTGATTGTGTGTCAGCCTGGTAAAGAGCAAAAAAAAGAAGAAGAAGCAGGAGAAGCACATTAGGCGTCAGTCGATGTAAATGTCTAGGGGTTGCTCTTTAAAGGAAGATCACTTTATTGTTTTCTTTTTGCCTGTTGCGATTGATTGCTCCTCTTTATCTGAAATGAGTTTTATAGTTTTATTTCTTCTGTAAGTCAAAGTTATATGAGGATACTTAACACTGAAACACAACTGAAAGGATGTTTCTGTCAGTAGATTTAAAAAAGGGTGGCTTGGTAGTTTTTAGATAATATCTTTTTCTTTTATTTTGTCCAGTCAGKGTTGTTTGAGTTGAGACAAATTCATTGTCAGTTCACTGAACCTGTCCAAACTGTCTGTTCTGGAACATCACAGTACAAGAATATGGATCGGTACATGGCTAAATCATACTATAGGACGYACAGATTGGCTTTTTATTTTTGCACAGTCTTTTCCTTTTCTTTTCTTCTTCATATTGCAGCAAAAYGTGCTTTTGAATTTAAATCCACAACAAAGTTTTAATGTGAAAGCTAATTTAGATCCACACTGATTTTATTGACATTCAGACACTTTTATGTTTTTTTTTTTTAGTTGTTTTGCTCTCAGTTGCTGCTCAKCTTAGCTTTTTATTTTTTGTTGTGTTGTTTTATTCAAGTCTTTCTGATATTTTCCTAATTTTTATCCCTTGTGGTGAGAACACTTTGTCCCGCTGGTTTAGATTACAGAACATTTTGTTCTGTAACCTGCAGAACTGCTGATGTTTTTCCCAAATCAAGCTTCAGCTCAGGTGTTTTTCTTCTTTTAAACTGGTCGTTTTTTATTTATTTATTTATTTATTTATTTATTTATTGT